AAGTGCCCTTACGCATGCGAAAGTTTCGCAGCCACTGGGAATCGTCCCAGACCTGCAACACTATGCGGTCCCACCAGTCTGTGCTTGTTTCCCGAGCCCAGAATCGGCGTTCCACAGCATGAACCTGCCCCATTAGCACCATGATGCATGCACTGGTAGGGCCCATGCTTTCAGAGAAATCTGTGTCCATGTCCTGATCACTCACGTGACCGCGCTGACGTCGCCTCCTCGCCCGGGATCGCTTTGCCAGGTTCTGGTGCTGCATATACTGCTGGATAATGTGTGTGGTGTTTAATGTGCTCCTAATTGCCAAAGTGAGCTGAGCAGCCTCCATGCTTGCCTTGGTATGGCGTCCGCACAGAAAAAAGGCGCGGAACGATTGTCTGCCGTTGCTCTGACGGAGGGAGGGGCGACTGACGACACGGCTTACAGGGTTGGCTTCAGGGAGCTAAAATCAACAAAGGGGGTGGCTTTACATCAAGGAGTATTTCAGGCAGGACTTCACGGAGGGTTCCAATAAGAAATGGTGCACCTAAGTTATCGTTCTTATTGGAACAAGGAGGTTAGCCTGGCCTCTGACTGATACATGCCTAGATTTACCTCGCTGCACCTTCTCTGTGAGTGACTGCAGTGTGACCTAGAGGAATGAGTCCCCTAGACAGGGGAGGAGGCAAATGAGTACAAAACAAATCTGGTCTATTTCTTGTTTTGACCCACTCCATCTATCTTTTACATCTTTGGCTGGCAGCAGACGGTGCAGAAGGACTGCATGCCATCCACATCTCATGGCTGCTCGGCAGAAGATGGTACAGTTACCATCCCCATCTTTTCTCCTAAAATTACGACTGCTAGCAGTCCTTGTATCATATTATCGCCTGCCCGCTCACCATAAGACGGTTCAATAGGACTGACTGCAGGCAGGACTAAAGAGAATGACCTGGTCGAGTCACTCCAAATTTAGTCCCTGCACCCATGTCTGCCCAGGCGCTCCCAGCCGACGTGGCCAGGAGCACCTCGGACATGACGATGACGGCTACCAGTCGTATTGCACCGTCTGCTGCCAGAAGGCAAGGGGTTGCTGCTACTGTGTAGCAATGCCGTACCGCGTCTGCCAGCACCCAGGAGACATAGGGTGACGGTTACCTGAGCGGGCTCCATGCTTGCCGTGGTATGGCGTCTGCACAGGTAACTCAGGAAAAAAGGCGCGAAACGATTGTCTGCCCTTGCTTTCACGGAGGGAGGGAGGGAACGGGGGCCTGACGATACGTACCCAGAACCACCCGCGACAATGTTTTAGCCCCATCAGGCATTGGAATCTCAACCCAGAATTCCAATGGGCAGCGGAGACTGCGGGAACTGTGGGATAGCTACCCACAGTGCAACGCTCCAGAAGTCGACTCTAGCCTCGGTACTGTGGAAGCGCTCCGCCGAGTTAATGCACTTAATGCACTTAGAGCATTTTCTGTGGGGACACACACACTCGAATATACAAAACCGATTTCTAAAAAACCGACTTCTATAAATTCGACCTAATTTCGTAGTGTAGACATACCCACAGACATACACACTCACAGACACACACTGACACACACTCTGAGACACACACACACACTGAGGCACTCACTCATGCACACACACATTGCAACACTCACACACACACACACTGAGGCACTCACTCATGCACACACACATTGCAACACTCACACACACACACACACTGAGGCACTCACTCATGCACACACACACATAGCAACACTCACACACACTGAGGCACTCACTCATGCACACACACACATTGCAACACGCACACACACACACACACTGAGGCACTCACTCATGCACACACACATTGCAACACTCACACACACACACACACTGAGGCACTCACTCATGCACACACACATTGCAACACTCACACACACACACACACACTGAGGCACTCACTCATGCACACACACACATTGCAACACTCACACACACACACACTGAGGCACTCACTCATGCACACACACACATTGCAACACTCACACACACACACACACACTGAGGCACTCACTCATGCACACACACACATTGCAACACTCACACACACACACACACACACACTGAGGCACTCACTCATGCACACACACATTGCAACACTCACACACACACACACTGAGGCACTCACTCATGCACACACACACATTGCAACACTCACACACACACACACTGAGGCACTCACTCATGCACACACACATTGCAACACTCAACACACACACACACTGAGGCACTCACTCATGCACACACACACATTGCAACACTCACACACACACACACTGAGGCACTCACTCATGCACACACACACATTGCAACACTCACATACACACACACACACTGAGGCACTCACTCATGCACACACACACATTGCAACACTCACACACACACACACACTGAGGCACTCACTCATGCACACACACACATTGCAACACTCACATACACACACACTGAGGCACTCACTCATGCACACACACACATTGCAACACTCACATACACACACACACACTGAGGCACTCACTCATGCACACACACATTGCAACACTCACACACACACACACTGAGGCACTCACTCATGCACACACACACATTGCAACACTCACACACACACACACACTGAGGCACTCACTCATGCACACACACACATTGCAACACTCACACACACACACACAAACACTGAGGCACTCACTCATGCACACACACATTGCAACACTCACACACACACACACACATGAGGCACTCACTCATGCACACACACACATTGCAACACTCACATACACACACACACTGAGGCACTCACTCATGCACACACACACATTGCAACACTCACACACACACACACTGAGGCACTCACTCATGCACACACACACATTGCAACACTCACACACACACACACACACACTGAGGCACTCACTCATGCACACACACATTGCAACACTCACACACACACACACACTGAGGCACTCACTCATGCACACACACACATTGCAACACTCACACACACACACTGAGGCACTCACTCATGCACACACACACATTGCAACACTCACATACACACACACACTGAGGCACTCACTCATGCACACACACACATTGCAACACTCACACACACACACACACACACTGAGGCACTCACTCATGCACACACACACATTGCAACACTCACACACACACACACTGAGGCACTCACTCATGCACACACACATTGAGGCACTCACTCATGCACACACACATTGCAACACTCACACACACACACACTGAGGCACTCACTCATGCACACACACACATTGCAACACTCACACACACACACACACTGAGGCACTCACTCATGCACACACACATTGCAACACTCACACACACACACACACACTGAGGCACTCACTCATGCACACACACACATTGCAACACTCACACACACACACACTGAGGCACTCACTCATGCACACACACATTGCAACACTCACACACACACACACACCTGAGGCACTCACTCATGCACACACACACATTGCAACACTCACATACACACACACACTGAGGCACTCACTCATGCACACACACATTGCAACACTCACACACACACACACTGAGGCACTCACTCATGCACACACACATTGCAACACTCACACACACACACACACTGAGGCACTCACTCATGCACACACACACATTGCAACACTCACATACACACACACACTGAGGCACTCACTCATGCACACACACACATTGCAACACTCACACACACACACACACTGAGGCACTCACTCATGCACACACACACATTGCAACACTCACACACACACACTGAGGCACTCACTCATGCACACACACATTGCAACACTCACACACACACACACCTGAGGCACTCACTCATGCACACACACACATTGCAACACTCACACACACACACACACTGAGGCACTCACTCATGCACACACACACATTGCAACACTCACACACACACACATTCCCAGAGGCACTCTGACACACTCACAGACACACACCAATACATGCTCTAAGACACACACCCACTGAGACACTCACTCACACACACACACACAGAAATACTGACACACTCACTGACACACACACACTCTGAGACGTTCCCGGGCCACACACTCACAGACACACACGGACACACACACTCAGAGACTCACTCTTACACACTCGCAGACACACACTGACACGCTCTGAGACACACACACGCACTGAGACACACAATGACACACACTGCAACACTCACAGACACACACAGTCACAGACACACCCTGACACACGGTCTGAGACCCACACACACACACACCAGGACATTCACTGACGCTCCCAAACACTCTGACACACGGACACACAAACACACTCACAGACACACCCTGACACACGCTCTGAGACACACACACACACACACACCAAGACATTCACTGACACTCCCAAACACTCTGACACACGGACACACAAACACACACACACACACACTCACAGACACACTCTGACACACGGACACACAAACACACACACACTCACAGACACACAAACACACACACACTCACAGACACACTCTGACACACGGACACACAAACACACACACACTCACAGACACACTCTGACACACGCTCTGAGACCCACACTCACCGGCTCACAGACCCACCCAGTGACATACCCGCCGAGCCACTCACACACCCAGGCCACCCCCAAAGCTGCACAGCCCCGCCCCCCCCGAAACTACAACTCCCAGCGCTCCCCTGGGGAGAGGGGGGCAGGCGGGCCGGGAGGGGGGTGCAGGGAGCATGCCCAGACCCCCATCTTCCCCCTCCCTCCATCCTTCCCCTGCATCCCCCCCCCCCGCCCCCTCTGCTGCATCAGCACCAACCTCCCTCCATCCTTGAGCAGCGGCAGCAGCCTCCCGCCCGGAGCAGGGAGCTTCGCCCGGCGCTGCGGTAACCCAGAGCCTCCCCCCACCCCCACCTCCTCCTCTCCCCCCCCACGCCGCCCCGGCAGCAGGGCCCCCCTCCCCGCCCGGCTCGCGGGGTCTGCGGCAGCTGGAGGAGGGAGCAGCGTGAGCAGCCATGAAGGACCGTACTCAGGAGCTGAGGACTGTAAGAGCCAATGTCTCCTTTCTACCTAGCCTCGGGGGAACCCCCCCACATACCCCCAGGGCCGGGGGGGGGCGAGATTCCCGACTGCCCCTGGGGAGGGGACACTGGGGGGCGACCAGATCCTCCCCCCCCCGCCAAGCTGAGCTCTCCAAGGGGGAAGGGAGATCAGACCCCCCCCTCCCCAAGCTGAGCTCTCCAAGGGGGAAGGGAGATCAGACCCCCCCCCAAGCTGAGCTCTCCAAGGGGGAAGGGAGATCAGACCCCCCCCCCCAAGCTGAGATCTCCAAGGGGGAAGGGAGATCAGACCCCCCCCCCCCAAGCTGAGCTCTCCAAGGGGGAAGGGAGATCAGACCCCCCTCCCCAAGCTGAGCTCTCCAAGGGGGAAGGGAGATCAGACCCCCCCCCCCAAGCTGAGCTCTCCAAGGGGGAAGGGAGATCAGACCCCCCCCCCCCAAGCTGAGCTCTCCAAGGGGGAAGGGAGATCAGACCCCCCCCTCCCCAAGCTGAGCTCTCCAAGGGGGAAGGGAGATCAGACCCCCCCCCCCAAGCTGAGCTCTCCAAGGGGGAAGGGAGATCAGACCCCCCCCCCCAAACTGAGATCTCCAGGGGGCGGTGGTGGTCGGGGCAGACCCCCGAGCTCAAATCTCCAAAGGGGGGAAATTTAGATGGTGGGGGGTCCATTGCTGAACTCCCAGGGAGTGTGTTTGGGAGGGGATCCAGCCCCCCCCCCAATAGGGACCCAGAGGGAGGGGATGAGTTGGCGATAAGGTGCGGGGGGATAACCCTTCCCCGGGATATATTTCCGTGGGTCTATGGAAAGGGGTATGTGTGATGGATGCGGTGCGGGGGGGGGGTGATTCAGACCCCCCCCAACCCTTTTCTTTCTAGCTGCATCCAACCCGCTCCCCACCCCCCCTCTGGTGCCCCAATCAAATCGGACTTGTCTGTTTCATAATATTTTCCCCTGGTGATATTTCGCCAGTTTCCTGGCCAGGATTCCTATCCCCACCCCCCCCCCACTCTCCTTTGGGGGTTTTCTGGGAGGATGCGGGGGGGGGGGGAAGGAGGGAGGAGGATTGCGGTGGCAGGATAAAATATATATATGGGGTGATGGAGAAAGAACCACCCCTTTTCCTCCACCCCCCACCCCCCCAATTTATGTCACAGATCAAGGTTGGGGCGGTGGGCGGGAGCTGGGAATCTGGGTCTTTGCAAATCGTTCTCTCAAGGGAAAAGCAGGATCTATTTCTGTCTGTGATTCCTGTGGGTTATATTGGGCTCTGGTTGGGTGTGTGTGTGTGTGTGTGTGTGTGTGTGTGTGTGTGTGTGTGTGTGTGTGTGTGTGGTGTGTGTGTTTGAGTGTGTTTAACAACAAATACCCAGGGAGAAACACAGTTTAATTACAGCTGGGGGGGGGGGGGGGAATCCTTCCAAAATTGCTGGTTGATTTGCTTTCCGCTTTGCTACTGGATGGATGGATGGATGGATGGATGGATGGAGACAGACAGACACCGCTGCTCGGTGGATGGAGTCTTAAATAACTGCTGGCCAGCGCGCCCTTCTGCAGTGAACAGAAGCGGGGGGCTTTTTCCCCCCTAGGCTGCGAGGCGGGAGCCAGGGAAGGCTGTGGGACGGAGGGAGCGGGAAAGGCAGAGAGGAGGAGAGAGGCAGCCGGGACTGGAGCGTGCTCTTTGGTTGCAGGGGCACAGGGATGGACGGAGGAGGAATGAATGGCTGGCGCGCCCCTCGCTACGAGGATGGAGGGATGGAGAAAGGCAGCGAGGCGGAGAGATGGGAATGGGTTTCAGAGCTCCGGGCTGCTCCTGGGGAGAGCGAAGGCGGCTGCCTTCTCTGTGGCCCTTGGCCCAGGGGCCGCCAGGACCGAGGGGGGCTGAGGCCTGCGGGAGGCCCTGGGCCCCGCGCCCCTGGCCCAGCGGCAGGTGTGGGCAGGTGGGTGCGGGGAAGATGGCCCGGCTGGCTGGGCGCAGTGGGTGCTGGGGCGGGTTTGCTGCAGGGAACGGAGGGGGGTTTTTCACTCAGCGGTGGGGAGTGAATGCAGCAAAGAGACACAGGGTGCGTGTCTGTGTGTGACAGAGAGTGTGTGACGTGCGTGTGAGCGACGTGTCTGTCAGCGTGTGATGAGCATATGTGTGTCTGTCTGTGAGCGACGGCTGTGTGTCTGTCAGTGTGTGGGTCTGTGTGTGAGCGACGGCAGTGTGTGTGTGGCTGTGTGTGAGCGACGGCTGTGTGTCTGTGTGTTTGTGTGTGTGTGTGTATGAGCGATGGCTCTGTGTCTGTCAGTGTGTGTGTCTGTCAGTGTGTGTGTGTGTGAGTGATGGCTGTGTGGCTATGTGTGGGTGGCCGTGTGTGAGCAAGGGCTGTGTGTCTGTCAGTGTGTCCGTGTGTGAGCAACGGCTGTGTGTGTGTGTGTATGAGCAATGGCTGTGTGTCTGTCAGTGTGTCCGTGTGTGAGCAACGGCTGTGTGTGTGTGTGTATGAGCAATGGCTGTGTGTCTGTCAGTGTGTCCGTGTGTGAGCAACGGCTGTGTGTGTGTGTGTGTGTATGAGCAATGGCTGTGTGTCTGTCAGTGTGTGTGTGTGTGACCGATGGCTGTGTCTGTCAGTGTGTTTGTGTGAGCAACGGCTATGTGGCTGTGTGTGTCTGTGTGTGAGCGACAGCTGTGTGTCTGTCAGTGTGAGTGATGGCTGTGTGTCTGTCAGTGTGTCCGTGTGTGAGCAATGGCTGTGTGTCTGTCAGTGTGTGTGTGTCTCCGTGTGTGAGCGATGGCTCTGTGTCTGTCAGTGTGTGGCTGTGTGTGAGCGATGGCTGTGTGTCTGTCAGTGTGTCCGTGTGTGAGCAATGGCTGTGTGTCTGTCAGTGTGTGTGTGTCTCCGTGTGTGAGCGATGGCTCTGTGTCTGTCAGTGTGTGGCTGTGTGTGAGCGATGGCTGTGTGTCTGTCAGTGTGTCCGCGTGTGAGCGATGGCTGTGTGTCTGTCAGTGTGTGTGTGTGTGTGTGTGTGAGCGACGGCTGTGTGTCTGTGTGTGTGTGGCCGTGTGTGAGCGATGGCTGTGTGTCTGTGTGTGTGTGTGTGTGTGTGTTATGAGTGATGGCTGTGTGTCTGTCAGTGTGTGTGTCTGCGTGTGTGTGGCCGTGTGTGAGCGACAGCTGTGTGTCTGTGTGTGTGTGTGTGTGTGTGTGTATGAGTGATGGCTGTGTGTCTGTCAGTGTATGTGTGTGTGAGCGACGGCTGTGTGGCTGTGTGTGTGTGGCTGTGTGTGAGCGACGGCTGTGTGTCTGTCAGTGTGTGAGCGATGGCTGTGTCTCTGTCAGTGTGTCCGTGTGTGAGCAATGGCTGTGTGTGTCCCCGTGTGTGAGCAATGGCTGTGTGTCTGTCAGTGTGTGTGTCCGTGTGTGAGCGACGGCTGTGTGTCTGTCAGTGTGTGTGTCTGTGTTCGTGTGTGAGTGACGGCTGTGTGACTGTCAGGGTGAGTGATGCGAGGGAGAGTGTGTGTCTATGTGTGAGCAATGGGTGTGTGTCTGTCAGTGTGTGTGACATGTGTGACGTGTGTGTATGTGAGTGATGAGTGTTTGTCAGTGTGTGTGATGTGAGAGTGTGTGTCTATGTGTGAGCAATGAGTGTGTGAGAAAGAGTGTGCGTGTGATGTGTGTGTCAGTATGTTTGACATGTATGTGTCTGTGTGAGAGCGGTGGGTGTGTCTGTCAGTGTGTGAGTGTGTGAGACACGTGTGTCCGTGTGTGTGTGATGGATGTGTGTCTGTGTGTGAGCAATAAGTGTGTGTCTGTCAGTGTGAGTGTGAGAGAGTGTGTGTGACGTGTGTGACTGTGTGTGAGCAATAGGTGAGTGTCAGTGTGCATGATGTTTGTGTTGTGTGTGTAAGTGTGTGTTGTGTGTGTGATCTGTGTGTCTGTGGCTGAGCAACATGTGTGTCTGTCAATGTGTGTAATGTGAGAGAGAGTGTGTGTGTCTATGTGTGAGCAATGGGTGTGTGTCTGTCAGTGTGTGATGTGTGTGAGTGTGAAAGAGTGTGTATGTGATGTTTGTGTGCCTGTGTGTGAGCAATGGGTGGGTGTCAGTGTGTGATTAGTGTGTGTCAGTATGTGTGTGTGTCCATGTGTGAGTGATGGGTGTGTGTTAGTGTGTGTGTGACACGTGCATGTGTGAGCAATAGGTGTGAATCTGTCTGTGTGTGTGTGATGTGTGTGAGCGATTGAGAGTGTATGTGATCTGTGTATCTATCGGTGTGTGTCTAATGTGTGGGTGGGTGTGTGAGAGAGAGTGTGTGTTAGTGTGTGGGTGTATGAGAGAAACTGTATGTGTGACATGCATGTGTCATTGTGTGTGTGGTGTGAGAGTATGTGTGTGATATGTGCATGTCAGTGTGTTAGTGTGTGTGAGTGAGTGTGTGTGAGAATGACATGTGTGTGTCGGTGTGTATGTTAGTGTGTTATACGTGTGAGAGTGGCATGTGTGTCTGTCAGTGTGTGTGTGTGAGAGAGAGAGTGACACATATGGGTCAGTCACTGTGTGTGTGTTAGTGTGTGTGTGAGAGAGAGAGATGGAGGGGACGCTCAGTGTGAGTGTGAGTGTGAGAAAAAGCTGTGTGCGTTGGTCAGTCAGCGTGTGTGAGAGAGAGAGCGTGAGTGTGTAACGTGTGTGTCTGTCAGTGTAAGTGATGTGTGTGAGTGGCTGTGTGTGTGAGAGTGTTTGTCAGTGATGTGTGTGCCCATGTCAGTAGGCATGTCTGTGTATGCGTCAGTGTGTGTGTGTGTGTGTGAGAGAGAGAGAGAGAGAGAGAGAGAGGGGGAGCGTCTGTGTGGGTCTGGCTGCGTGGGTTATAAAACCAGGGACGCTGGGTGGGAGATGGCACGCCCACGTCTGACAGACACATTTGCACAGGCCCACACATCTGACACACACACACACACAGATCCACCACCGAAACACACACACCATACAGCCTGGCAGCAGATGTCTC